CCTTTGCCCCTGTGGGGCTGGAGTTTTCAGGTGCCAAGAAAAAGCAACAGTGTTCCCTTCCCTCTTGCGATCCAGGGTTATTAGCCCTTCCCTTAAGCCCGCTCCATGTTTTCCTTGCTGGACTCTGACTTCCCTGTTTAATTTGTTCTGTCCTGACACGAAATGATCGGTGCTTTCAGAGTACAAAAGTGTCTCACACTAGCCTTCTGATACTGGCCCTTTCGATTTTTTTTTTCTTTTCTGTTTTCTTCAGGAGTTTCCTCTTTCTTTGCAATTACTTTGTAGTCTTTCACTGCCCCACCCCCCGCCGCAGCAAAAATAACCTCATGATAAAGTATTCATCTACATCAAAGAGACAGATTATCTGTCAATGCTGTTACGGCAATTACTTAAACTGAATGTAAATTTGGAGAGAATACAATTGAAAATTTTCCCTTCCTTTAGGTCTGGTTTGAACATTCACAATGAGAAGATGGGCTACTGGGTTTTTTTCTAGAAGAGTACATTTAAGCACGGACCTTAGGATGGTAAATTTTCTGAAAAATCTACACAGAGAAGAATATAAAAGGATTTTTTTTTCATTTTCTTTTTGTCTTTTTTAGAGATCTTGAGTTTCAGTGTTGAAAAAAATGCTACGCAAACACCTTTATTAAGGCGTTTTCTAAATATCATAAAAATGTTAATCATAATCCCAAGCATAAATATCTATTGCTGAGAACCTAACATTAACTCTGCTTCCGGGCAGTTATTAGGAGGCTAATAGCTAATATATGCCACTTTTGAAATGAAAAAACCTTAGTAATTATAAACTTCAAACAAATCTAGAAAATTTATATTAATTTTGTTCAGCTGAAATATGCTCAACATGATAAAAACTTAAGTTCTTGATTTTCTTTTGAACATCTGTTAAAGATTTATCACATCTTAAGTCTGAACAATAAAAAAGGAATTAACATTAGAGAATATATTTCAAGGCAAACGCCATACAAACTGAATTATTTTTGCTTACTATTTCAAAAGAAAATGTCAACCCCATAAAATCCTGAAAATCAGACATAAAGAACAAAGCAATCTTTACCAGCGTTCACAATGCCAGGCTTGCTTTATGAATAGTTACAAGGTTCCTGGTTCCTTATTGGTTCACATTCTAAACCAATAGGAAAAGTACAACACATCTTTCAAAGGGGGAGAGAGCACTGGAATAAATGGATTGTTTATCACATTCATTCTCTTTCAAGCTCATGTGTCCTGTAATTTCAAAGAAGAAATGTAAGATTTTTTTGAATTACTGATGGGTGCTACTCCTCATGATCCACCCTCTGCAGAGTTCCAGTTGACTCTAGTATAATTGGCTATAATTAATTATGTGAAAGTAATGTTTCTTTAAAATACTAGGTGAATGTGAAGAATGGCAAAAATGCCTACTAATAATTTATTAATGAGGTAAGTCCACAGATTTTAGTTAAGAGACTAACCTTTAAGGAAATAGTGAAATTTGTAAATGTTTTGGAAAATAGCATCGAATTTTGTGAATAAAATTGCCAAGGCATCACAAATCTATTACTCTCTTTCTCTGGAGCCACTTTGGACAGATGTAATGGATAAATTCTAAACCTGCTTGTTTATATTTGCATTTAGAACCTAAGTATGATTTCATTCCAACTAAAGTAACCTTTGGCACCTTTATATTCCTCTGCCCTTGATTTACAGCATTCTGGTTAATTCTAGTTATTTACATATTGTGTGATCTCCCTTACTGGGTTATCAATTCCTGGAAGATAAATTGTTTCCTGCTCAAGCTGTTTTCCTCACTGCCAAACCCAGATACTTGTACAACATAAGCAATGTGCTGAGTGAAAGCTGGAGTAAGCATGCCCTGTGACAGCAGATGGCAAATCAAAAGAAAATATGTCTGGTTTTTCTTCCTTACTTACATAATAGCTGACCAATTGTTTTCATTCCCAATTAACACTTCAAATTGTTGCTAGGATGTTATTAAAAGAAAATAAAACAACATACACTGAAATCCTGTGTCTTATTTCAGGTCTCATATGGGCTGGGTTGTAGCTCAGTAACAGCGCCCACTCTGGCTTAGTGTGTGAAGCCTTGACGCTACAAAAACTTCTTAACACACTCAGACAATGGTAGTTCTGCCGCCTTGGAGAATTTAGTACCCCAAACTCCCGTTTCCTCAACTTTCAGTTGAAACTCATAGTATCTCTAGTCTTTGATTAATTAAATAATGAACACATGCTAGAAGCTCAATAAATTATTATAGATATGTTGGGCTCAGTCATGAAAAAATACAATTTTCTACAATTATTTATAAAAGGAAGATAGAATCACTTAAAGTTGTCAGGAGTTGGGGACAGATACAGTCAATGGGTAAAGTGTTTGCCATGAAAGTGGAAGGGCCAGATTTCAAATCCCCAGGACATAGATTAACAGCAGTTATGGAAACCTCCCTATAATCAGAACACTCAGAAGGTGGAGATATGATCCCTCCTGCAAATAGCCACATCAGTGAGCTCTAGGTTCAAGGGAGAGATCCTGCCTTAATACACACAGTGGAGAGGAATGAAAATACCTCATGTTGGCTTCTAGCCACAAACATGCATGCACCCACACAAATGTGAACATGCATACAAGCACACATGCAAATCAGAAAAGACCATGATGAAACCCATTACCTTGTATCCTAACCTACAAAATTAACTTTTAAAATTCAGTGAATGGGCTAAAGATGGTTAGTGGATAAAGTGCTTGCTGTGTCAGCATGAAGAATAGAGTTCAGGTTTGCAAAGCCTACATAAAAGCTGGGTAGATGTGGTGTCCCTCTGTGATCCATGTACTCAGCAGGCCAGACTAGTCCAATTGAGTTCTGGGCTCAAGAGACTCATTAAATAGCATGAGAGTGATCAAGGTCACACACACACACACACTCACCCATACAGTACAAAGAAAAAAAAATGTCCTGAATAAAAGACTGAACACTATGAGCATCTATCAGAAGAGATTTTGTGTGGTAGAATATTATCTTAAGGTGTGTGACTTTTGTCCAGTACAAAGAAAAAAATGTCCTGAATAAAAGGACATTTATAAACACTATGAGCATCTATCACAAGAGATTTTGTGTGGTAGAATATTATCTTAAGGTGTGTGACTTTTGTCCATGCTGCATTTGTTTAACTCAGTGAAGCTGTGATTCTTTGCTTGTCCAATAAAACACCTGATGGTCTAATAAAGAGCTGACCAGCCAATAGCAAGGCAGGAGAAGGCATTCATAAGTAATAATAAAACTCCATGTGTGGTTTATTTGGGAGCTGGGTGTTGGGACCTCAAAAAGACCAAAAAGAGCAAAAACAATTTTGTTTCCTATTTTTAAGATGTATTTTTCTGTGTATTGTACATGTCAGGTGCATGCAAGCACCCTCCAAGGCCAGACACAGGTATCGGAGTCCCAGGCACTCAAGTTGTAAGCCGTCCAACATCCTGGTAGGCAAATTTGAGTCCTTTGGAAAGCAATAAGCTCTCTATCTCTCTAGCCCCCTGTTTTTGTCCTTTTTTTGTTGGTTGGTTGGTTTTGTTTGTCAAGACAGGGTTTCTCTGTGTTACCTTGGTTGTGCTGGAACTCACTCTAGCCTGGGATGGCCTTGAGCTCCCTGA